AAAATTGCCTCCTTCGACCCGTTTAGATCCGCGACGCTCAGCTAGAGCGCGCACCCTTCTCCTCAGCGCTTGTGCTCTTCTGGGGAGATAAACAGACAATAATACAAGGGGGGGGGGACAAAACACAACCACCGCCCCCGCCCAAAAGATAATAGATCCCTGAATGTGGCAGAGACTAGCTGCTATCTCAACCCTTCTATGCAGCTGGCGAGCCCGGGCTGTCACCCTGCCGCCGTCACCCTTTTCAGCTGCTTGGTTATTAACCCCCCAATAAAGCGCTAGGAGGTCGGCTGTTCTTTATGCCCTTCACGGCTCCCAGCCCCATTAGCTGGTCCAGAAGCCGTGGCTCCAGCCGCCACCCCTGAGCGCGCGCGCACACACACAGATACATACACACAGAGGCACAGGCACACGCAGCCCGACGCGCACTTGGGCGCACGCTCGCGCACGAGGAGCTGCGCGCACCCCAGAGTCCTCAGCCTCTCTTCCGCCCTTCAGAAAAAGGCGCTGCTGCATCTAGATGTCCAGATGTGCAGGCAGCTGGTGCCCGAGAACACAAACCCCAGGGCGTAGTAATGCTTTGGAGGCACGACTTTCGCTGCCTGCCGATCCTTTAAGGATTGTCTGCTTTAAGACGTTTCTCGCTCCAAACAAGCTTACTGCACTCCTAGCCTTGGAAAAAACACCACACACACACTTGGACCTGCAGGGCCAAGGGAGTCACGGTTAGCCATTTCTGTCCACCCTGGCGCCCAACTGATAGCTTGGGTACCTCCTAGTGGCTGCCTATCCCATTTACTTAAAATTTTCATCGAGAATAAAGAGTGCAAGGACAAAGAAACCCAGTAGCCCTCTAACTAGACCGGTTTGTAATAATAAAACCAAAATATATAAGGACAATACAAGCTTATAATTCCACTAATTCAGTTCGTCCAAAATATGGTGCTGCAGGAAGCCTACACATATGGCTGAACGACCTAGTACTATTCAGCATTTCCTCCACTTTGAGACAGACCTTGAGAATTGAATGGGTAGCTATTTACCAAATACAAAATTAAACATCACTTTACCACTGCCGTAGTGGTAAAGACAGCATGGTACTGGTACAATGACAGACACATAGATCAATGGAATCGAATTGAGAATCCAGAGATCAACCCATCTA